AGTAACCTTGAGAGAGGCCTGAATGGCAGGAGTTGAGAGCCAAAGTGGTCCTCAGGACATGTTGGCCTGCCTGGAGTCCCTGAAAGGTGTGACCCGTGGCACTCATGGGACAGAGCCTGAAGACATTGGATGCCATGCATTGAACTCTTAGTATGCACTAGGCTCACTTCTGGGCTTTTTACCCACATTTCCAAATTTGACTTTTGAAACAACCCATGAGGTAGATACTGTCCCTGTTTTGCAAATGGGAGAAACTGACGTTTAGCAAGAGCGAGTGATTTGGCAGTTACAGGCAGAGCTGAGATTTGTGCTCTGCCTTCCTGGGTCAAAGTCCCTGTTCCCCACCAATTCCCCCCATCGATATCTGGAGTGAGGAGGGGGGAGGCGGGGAGAAGGGAAGGGTATTCCGGTCTCCCAGGCGGCACAGACAGGGGACTGGCCTTGGGGAAAGCTGACCGCTCCCCATTAGTGTGTTCCTCGTTGGCTGAGCCACACCCACCCTCCGAAATCAAGGGTTTGAGGTCTCAGTGAGAGTTGTTTCCTATCTTTTATGGGTTAGGACCCCCCCCACCCCCATTCTGTGTGCTCCCCATTTTCAGTGGATTTATTCTCATTCCGGATCTTGTCCCTTCCCCAGCCTTTCTTCTTATTCCGACCTTATTATGCCAAGGTAGTAAGCATGGAGCAGGACCTCAGGACAACAGCATTCCCGCCCGCCTCTGGCTGGGACTGCTCTCCCCGGGCCTGTGGTGCATAAGCACGGCTCTCTCGATAGGAGGGGGAGAGGGAAGCATCAGAAAAGCCAGCAGGGCTACATGGCAGAGCCACACTTTAGGGATGCAGCCACGCTGAATCCTTGGTTGTGTTTGAAATATGGAGTCTTCAATGATTGTGTCTTAGGACCTGTAGCATGTTTAATTCTATCACCAAAAGCCTCTGGCTTACTTATTAATGACTTTTAAAATGAAGTTGGTCTTTAAAAAAAAAAAGAAATATTTAAGAGAGAGAAAAAATTAAATTGGACTTTGTAAAACAAATCTTTGATGAATATTTTTAATCTGTCCCCAAGTGTTCTAGCCACAGGGTGTGTTAGCCTGTGATGCCTCCAGGAGAGCCCACCATGTGACTGGCATAAATCAGTGGCTCTGAAAAAAAAGATTCTTTCTTCTGCCTTTTGGAATGATGGGAAATAATTACAGAATTAGGGTATAAGAGGGACTGTATTTTTTTCGTGTTGGCTTGCCTGCTTTTTGTTTTGTTTTCATTGGCCGTTATTTGAAACAGAAGTTACTGTCAACATATGCAGAAAGAATTTAGGATCCACGCCATTTATCTGAGGCCTACTCTGTAGGGAATGTTTCATGAGCTATCAGATTGAATTCCACCAGGCTGGTGAACAAGACGGTCGCCCTTCACTGATGTTTCCCAGTGTGAACTAGAACCCGCGGCTAATGACGGAGGCTGGCACTGGGGTCTGGTCTGCAGGGTAGCCTCCCACCACACAGCTGACTTTATACCTGGAAGAAAAGACAGTAATGTAGAAGGCCTCTCAGTAGGGAGAATGGAGTTTCTTCTTGAAAATCCTGTCTTCTCAGCATTGTAAAATGATTATAACTAACATGTATTGAGTGATTTTTGCATGTCAGGACTGTTCTAAGCATTTCTCTTTTATTAACCCATTGAAACTTCACCGCAGTTCAGTGAGGTAAGTTCTGTCATTATCCTGATCTCTCAGAGGAGAAGAGAGGCCTGAAGATGCTAGCTAAGTAAGTTTCTGGTGTCTCATAGTCTGCACTGCCAGTGCTGGCCACAGAACCTGCATTACAGAAAGCATACCAAGTACCCAGATGGGTGCGGGGAAAAAATACGCAACCAGTATTACTTCTTACAGTTTTTAAAATATAAAACCCTTAAAATTAGACTGAAAGTGCCACACTGACTGTTACCATATGAAGATCACATTTTCAGAAGCCTAAAGGTGAGAGGTGAGATTTTACGAAGGATTTTACTTCCTGGTTATTGGTAGAGTTTAACTAGAATCTCTTTACTGTGACATTTAATAAATTTTTTAAAACAGTAAAATAACATGAAATTAGAAATAACTATGATAAATAATTTCCATATTATAAGCAGTATTAATACCAAGTCTTTCTCATCTCTTTTATCCCACAATCTCATTTTTGCAGCCCTCTTTCTGCTCTTAGCAATTATTTCCTTAAGAAGAAAGAGGGTAGGGGAAACTTTCAAAGTGAGAAAAGTATGAACTTTAAAGCAACGTGCAGACTTGCTACCTCTGTCTATAATGGCTCCCTGTCGGGTGAAAAGGCCATGCGTACAGCCATCTTGCTTCATTGCTCAGCTTCTTCTAACCTATGTGTCTGCCTCAGGACATAGGCCCATGACGACACAGGACATCTGTTACTCTAGGAGGGCATTTAGTGTGAAATTGATACTATTGATGGTTGGTTATCTTGGAATGTGAATCCCCAAACTCGTAGGATTCCTGATGTCTCGCCTCCCTAGCCTCATACCCCTTGCGCTCGGGAGAGAACCTATATCATTACCCATCATCATCTTCCCTGCCCTGTTCTTACTGCCCTGTACCCGGTTAATTATGTGACATAAGAATGAGCTACCATCTGTTTTAGCTACTTGAATACACGTTTTGAGAACAAAATAGGAGAGAACTGTCCTTCCCCCTCAGAATGTCTTCCCATTCCTTTTCTGAGACTAAGCAGTGATGGTTTTCATCAGAGCAGTAAGCAGGTCATGACTTATTATTGCCAGAGCAGGCGGTGGACTAAATGACAGGACCAGTCAGAGACATGCTTATCCCACCCACTGCCTGCCATAGATATATTGAACTTATTCTCAAAAGGAAAAGTTCTCCTTAGAGCAGGACATGATGGGGAAACAGTGCTGTTGGTAGTCGTCCTCTCCAAACTCCTTTAAAAACCAGGCTTTATTGTAAGTTTGGAATGAAGTTTTACTTCTTGCTCCATGACTTCCATTTTGTGGTATAATTAAGGGCAATTACTCCAGCTAGAGATGCTGGCCCAGGTGAGACTGAGTTAATAAATAGCTGTTTGCCTTTAGCATTAGCAAGGGTATTTTCATTAAGGTAGTGATGTGTCAAGAGCGCTAAATAGGTTGCCATGGTATTTGTGGGTTTCAGCATGGACTCTGGCTTTCCCTGAAATTAAAAATGCTCAGCCTTCAGTAAAAAGTGCTTCCTTACAGAGCAAAGCAGAAGGAACATTTAATAGGTAAAATGACTATGGCTCAGGAACTTGATTGCAAAGGCTAATGAATGCATGGATATTTTCAAATCAGTATTGACTTTGACAGGTTTTGTTAAAAAAAAAAAAAGTTGTTTAATCTATATCTGTCTGTCCAGAGGGACTGTTTTCTAGCACATGGAGTAGCTGCCCACACATGGGACCAACTACCCCACAGGGATTAGATCTTATTCAGCTTTGAATCCACAGAGCCTAGCACACAGCAGATGTTCAAGAAATACCTGCTAAATGAATGCATGAATTCTGCCTACCCTTAGGCCAAATCAGCCTAAGAGTCAGACATTTTGATTTTTTGATTCTGTCACTGACCTACTTCTAGCGGTAGCTAAAGACAGTGGATTGTCCTCAAAGACCGTGACAAAGCCCTGGAAACTGGGAGAACCCTGTGGCCTTTGTAGGAAAAAGGCAGTGGTTGGATTCACTCATGTAAGTGGTTCTCAAAGTGTCTCTGGACCAATAGGATTCATATCCTGAATCTACTGAAGATCCTGGATAACTTGTGGAAAATGATTTCCAAAACTTTACAGTTAACTATGAAAAGATAAATAATGACAGTATATTATAACTAATTTAATTATGATTTTTCAAGACCCTGCAGGAAAGAGTTGAAATGTGAGGCCTTATTTTTTAAACTCATGGCTTCTATGCTTATGTTTCATGGAAATATTAATTCGCAGAGAAGTACAAATATTTTGTCCTGGTTCAGATGGGAGAAGGATTCAGAAGCTGCTTGTCTAAACTGAAATAGCCCATCTTTGTTACTTTTCTGTTATTTTGAACATCTATCAGGTTAGATGATTCTGAGCAAAGTTTTTTTTTCTTTTTATATATGTTTTCTCAAAGATTTATCTTTGTAAATGTCATCTTACTAGTTTGGGAAAGGAGCTTTGAAAGCTCTTAGGAAGATGAAGGTTAAAATTTAAGGATTTTCTAGCTAAACCTCAGCTATTTAGAAAATCCAGGTAAAGAGGACATTGTATTTCTCAGGTGCCCAGCTAACATTAACTTTATTCCCTAGTACAGGGGTCAGCAAACTGTGGCTCATGAGCCACATGCAGCTCTTTGGGTACGTACATGTGGCTCTGAAGTAAAGTTGAAAATGAAAATAAAACTATCATAGTTTCATTTATAAAATTTTTAAAAGATTTTAAAATTTTCCTTATTTGTAAAAATATACTTATGGCTCTCGAATAATTTTTAAATTGTTGTGAGGTACAGGATTGGCTCTTCCATTTCAAAAGTTTGCCGACCCCTGGCCTAGTACATGGTAGAAAGTAGATTAACAGTATCAAATTATATAGATATTAACATTATGAAACACTTGAAATTTCTTTTTTTATTAGTAAATAAAAGTATGAACAACTGATAGTTCTAGAACCTATAGCATAATTAAAGGGATCTTATAAGCTTTATATGTGCTTAAATTTGTGTTTATCTTTTATATGACAATATATTAGACATTAAACTTAACTACTGGTTATCAGAAAAGTCATGACGTATTCTTTCTGTTTTTTGTTGCAAAAATGCGTCATGACTTTTCCAACAACCCAATATTAACATAGCAACTGGTTGATTATAAATTCGGACTGTATGAAAAGCATTTACCACATTGACCTAATCTGCTCCACTGGTTTATGTCATAATTAATTTCTTGTCAGTAATAAAATTCAGGTGGCTAATGGATTCTGCCCTTTTCTCTAGGTTTATCTCCATCTACAGAGGACCCAGCCACACCTACAAGGTCCAGAGGCTGACCGAATTCACGTGTTACTCTTTCCGAATCCAGGCAGCAAGCGAGGCTGGGGAAGGGCCCTTCTCAGAAACCTATACCTTCAGCACAACCAAGAGTGTCCCCCCCACTATCAAAGGTTTGTAGACAATGTGTTCTGGCACTGTCTTCTGGGAGAGTAAGGAAATGTGGGAACTTAGAATAGGAAGTACGATTCTCACTCTAAGTATACTCTTCTAATATTTGTAATATCAGCAAGATAGAATCAAAAGAACTTTCTAAAAGAGAAGGTTGGGAAATGGGTGTTTTGGGGGAAATGGGGGGCCTTAAAGGCTCGAGAGGGCCTTCCAATAAAGACTTCTCAAGTGTGTATAAAGGATTATTACAGATAATTTGATAACCAGCAGGTAGATGGACAAGGAAAAGAAACAGTTCCTTTCTAAACTTTGGTTAGAAATGAGGGTGAATTCCTGATGCAGCACTCAGAACAGTTTACCACAGAAGTTTTGAAAATATGCCTTCCCAAACACATCAGGAGGAGCAGAGGCCGGCATTCACTTTGAATGCCCTTGGTGCCTAGAGATTTGAGACTGATGTCGGCACCCTCGGCAGCCTGCTCCGCCGGCCCTCAGCTCTCACCGTGCAGAGAGGCCTGGGACGAGCTGCAGCAGTGGCCTGTTCTCACCTCCCTGAGTATTCATCTTGTGGTTTGTGAGTGACTGGTTTACTCTCTGCCTTCTTTCTGGGATCAGGGGGTAAGCAAAAGCCACTCCACCGGGCCTGCAGAGCCCTCATCTTCCATTTCCAGTCACAGCACAGCCGGCTCATGAGGCCGGGCAGACAGCACAGGCTGAAGGTGGCTCGGCCCTTTCTCCCCCATCCTGAGGCCAAGGCCCAGCCCCGTCACAGACTCCTAAGCCTGCGCCCCTACTCTCCCCAGTAGTGTGATTCTTGTGCAGGTCCCTACTGCTTGCCTTTGGGGGGGTGGACAGCACTGGTGGCTTTACCCAGCTGCTGCCCAGAATGACCCTGAGGCTGATGGATAAACACACAGCCCCCCTGAACCCAGGTTTTATGTGGGTACAAGTGAGAGTTTGCTATGTTATTTGGGTGGCTAGGATTGCAAGCCCAACCTGTAAAAAAGGCCCTGTGTGTGTGTGTGTGGCCCCAGGAGCAAGGCCACTGACACCTTTCTTCCACGTGAAGGAGCTGTGTCAGCTACCACCAGAGCACAGAGTTCAGTAGAGGAGTCACGGTGAGGGGACTCCAGGACCTGGGTCAGGGTCTGGCTGGAATTCCGTGAAGGTTTCCCGTAGTTCCTTGCAGGGTACTTTATGGTAAGTACCTGCCCCTGCTTTCCTGCCCCTCAGCAGTCCAGAGCTTCTCTTTGGCAGTTGCTTCTTTGTGTGACTCAGAAACGAGTATAAATGGATGGACATGGATGTGCACGGCCCTGCTGGGTCACGTGGGCAATAAATGGCCCGGCCCTTTGGTCCAGCTTTGCCTTTCAGCTGTAACACAAGGGATCCCCACGCACTCCTTGGCCCATAGGTGTGTTGTGACAAGGAAGTCTTTCTGGCACTGATTTTGCCTTTCGAAGTGATTTTGGGGGAAATTCACAATGTGGAAAACAGAACACTGAATTGATGACTCTTGTGTTTCATGGTACATTTACTTCAGGACAGTTTCCTCACGCTGCCACACGATCAAGTCTTCTGCTTAGATTTAGGGAAGTGTTGTCTTAGCTGGAGGACTGTGTAGTCTGATAAGATCCCTTATTTACTTTTTCCATAAATTATTTGGCATTTTGATCAACTAATTCCAACTTTTTTTTTTTTTAAGAAAACCTTTGTTTTTCTGAAGCAGTATTGTACAGAATTACAAGTAGGAACAATTTTCTCTCAAGAGTTAATTTCATGTAACTAGAAATGAAAGAATAAGGGGGTTCAGAGAGAGAAGTTACATATTCCAGTTACAAAATAGAAAAATACATCTTGAATTAAGCTGTAGAGATATAGCATAAGCTATGAGACAATATTTTAAAATTCTGTGAAGTGCTTTGCTATAAACTAATACAATTTAACTTTGAATCAGAATGATGAATTTTCTAGGAGAAAAATTAATACACACACACATACACACACACACACGATAACATAATTTTAAAGACTGTCATTGCTGCCCATTTTCTGGGACTTACCTCCAGTGTTGCCTGCTCCTAAAACCTTCCTTAGACTCTCAAACAGTGTGACTTTTCCTCCCCTGGAACTCCAAAACATTTTATTTGTACCTCTCATTTTAATCTGCTTTACATTATTCTTCTATGCTTGTCTCACACTTTGCTCTCCCCTTCCCTCAGTTAGATCTTAATTTCCTTGAAAGCAAGGTGTATTGTACCTATTTTTGCATCCCCCAAAACACCTAGCTCAGGGCCTAATCATAGAAGGTGCCCACTAGCCATTGAAAAAATAACAAAAATTTGATCCAGGCCAAGCAGTTATTAATAGGATAATGAACAAAGGATTTTTCAGCAATGGCATGCTAGTCATGGAGTATTTTTTCTGTGTACAGAGCACCCTGCTGGTTTAATAGGAGGCTGCACAGATAAACCCCCTCTCAGGGCAGGCTCAAGCACTCTCTCCTCACTCTCTCTAATATCACTAAATTATTGACGTAATGTGATACTTTTAATTTTGACCTTAGATGTGTGGATTTGTATTTCAGCACCCCGAGTAACACAGTTGGAAGGAAATTCATGTGAAATTTTATGGGAGACGGTACCACCAATGAAAGGCGACCCTGTCAACTACATTCTGCAGGTATTGGTTGGAAGAGAATCTGAGTACAAACAGGTGAGAACCAGTGTGCCTGACACGTGTGTGGCTTATCGGAGTCAGGCTGGCTCCTTGCTTCTGCCTGTTGCCGTGAATGATTCAGTGACCCGTGAGCTACGTGTTTCTGAAAATCAGTCATAGACACTGCCTAACACGCACCCATTACCTAGTTCTTTAGGGTGGGTAAGCCATAGTTTACATTTTATTTTGTATGTGGTGGTTAGTATTCACTGTAAATTTTCAGGTCTCAAGTATAATCTTGAAATGGGTTTTTAAGCTCTACATTTGTATTTGATATTGGCAGTGACATTTGCAGACGTCTGTAATGGGTGTCATTGAAAACTGAAGCGCCAGGGGTTTTACTATAGAGGGGAAGAAGTCTCGACCAAACTACCGAAGCCTGTATACTGTCTGCTTTTTTAATGACAGTTATCACGGAAGGATAAGGACGATGACCTGTCAGCCCTGGAGGCCATGTCATTCAGAAGCTCCAGGTCACTCCTTGTCATGCTTTGACGGGCATGGAAATCTGATAAAGTGCAGATTCTGATTCAGTGGGTCTGGGGGTGAGGGTTCAGGCTCCTAGGTGAAACTGGTGTTGCCGGTTCACTGACCATAATTTGAGTAGCAAGGCCTGTACAGATCACATAATAGACATATGCAAAAGAGAATGCAACTGGAAGATAGCCAGATAAAGAGTTCAGTTTCGCCCTTTTTCACACCCCTTATGATCCTTAATTTTTCCAAAGCAACCACAGTATCAGTCACTGGCGGTTAAAGATTCAGACACTCTGTAGGTTTCTGTAATGCTCCCAGGAACTTAATAACTGTTGATGTGAAACTGGGATATAATACTGTTACTTTGTTAGGAAAACTGAGGCCCGTTCCTTATCAGCACTTTTAATAGAGGCATCCAAACATATCCACCTTCGAAACTTGAAGGCAAGTGGCCGCCTGTCTTCTGAAACATCATTTGTAAAGACCTCTTTATTCAGCTCTCGAGGCTCCAGATACAGAAAACAGGTGGAAAATAATTTGATTCTCAGTTTTCATTAAACTGCTGGTGGATATTCCTTATATAATAATAACAAATACTTCCAAATAAGAATGTATAAAATGAATCGAAGAAAATTTTGGTACATTACACAGTACTTTGTTAATATGAAGTGTCAGGTAAAAGAATGAATGGTTTTAAGCACATTTTGCAAAAACCGTATTTTAACTATGACATCCACCACTATTGATTAACATCAGTTGGATGATGTCACCAAAGTTTCTATCATTCCTCTTAAACAAGAGTAAAAAAAAACGATTGTTTCCTTTCACTTTTCCAGTCTCATCCTATACAGTATATCCCATTTCAAAGTAAATAATTTAACATGTGTAATTGTTTCAGCTTACTAGAAAGATATGATTGGTTTCAGGGTCTTGGCTCAGAGAACAGAGGATTTTCCCACTAGATTTTGTCATCTTTAACACCAGTAGCGTCCTGTTCCACAGCAATGTAAAAATGATTAAAAGATGAAATGTTACAAAGTTTCACAACATATTACTTGACACTTAACTAGAATTCATTTCTGAACAGTACATTCATTGCATATTCGTCATTGTATTTTTAAAAACCTCTTGTTCCACGTCTCATGCTTTTCCACCTGTTCTTGGAAAAAATGTTCTGCTTCTCAAAGCACAGCGTTTTACATTTATAAAGCAACATTATTGGGTCAGTATCTATACATGTCAGACATTGCCAAAATACAGGTAAATCCATTCAGAAAGCTAGATTTTATTGACAGATTGGCTGTTTTGAATCTATTGTTTGTTTAATGTTATATATTCAGACCCATGAAGATATAAATACTAATATAATACACAATCCCATATGTGCCTCTGAATATATTTCTTATTGTAAACAGTTACAAACAAGAGTTTCTTGTTCAAAATAGGTGAAAACATGGTACTACAGGGCAGGCTCAGTAGATTCAGTAGATAGGAGTTAGCATTCTTCACATAACCATGTCTTTCTGACATTTACCAAGAAATGATTAAGGTGTGTAGCGGTACATGAAAAGCCACCGTTGAGTCAGGGACAATTTGTACTGAGTTTTTTGCTTCTCTCTATTCAGTAAACATTAAGTTAAACATGTTTTGAGTATTTCATTCACTTGTTTTGGACACGAGATAGGGAATGAAAGCTATTTATATTATGTGTGCCGAGTAATGGTTAAAATAATTACAGTCCAGGGATAGGCTTTGAATTCATAGAGGCAAAGCAAAAGAAAATGAGAGGTAATCATCACTGAACATAGCCCACTGCAGAGTTACAGGGCTCTCAGGAGCTCTGTGTACCTCAGTCACGGCACTAATCAGACAGAATCCACTCGTGTGTGAGCTTGTGTTACTCATCTGTATTTTCCCAGGACTGGCACATAGCTAGGCACTCAGTAAATGTTTCTTGCATGCATGAACGAGGCTGTTGCAAAGGAACAGGGTGATTTCTATTTACAGTGATAAGATAGGCGTAAGCTTCAGCAAGGGGTGGGTTTAGAAGTGATGTTTGTGACTTAGGTGGAAAAAAATCTTTGGTAATAGGAGGGTATCATCCTGCTTCCCAAGCTTATTTTTATAGCAGCATATGGCAAGGGCCAAAGCCTCTTCTGCTGTTTTACTTGAAACATTGACTTTAGCTTTACCTTGGTTCTAGCTAATTAGCTTTCTTTCGTTCAGATATTATGATGCGGGGTGAGCAGCTGGTTTTAATTATGAAACCATCTATTAACTTATATTAAATCCTCACCTAAAATTATACTTTGCATTGGGATGCATGCATATATTGATTTGGCTTTTCTACCACTTGATAAACATTCCAAGCACAAGCTTTTTTCAAGAAGCTTAAAACTTATTTTCAATCAGTGTTAATTATAAAGCATTCTTGGAAAGAATGAAAATTGTGTGAATACGCAGGTGACCGATTTTTTTTTTTTACACAAAGTATAACCGTTTAATACATATATAAGAATGTAAAGTGAAATGATTCATGTCCCTGTTCAGAAAGCAATAACTTTTATAAAAAATATATAAATATAAACATTGAAGATGAGAAAGAGGTAACATGTTGCATGAAATTATTACCTATTAGGAGTCAGAATTTGTAACAAATCAATATTCTTGGTATTTATATTTGTTACATTAAGAAGACCTTTGAAACATCTGAAAAATTTATAGAACTCCATGTTTAATTTGATGGCATCTCTGTATAAATATTTCTCATTTAGTATCATTTTTAGAATATAGTACTGGTCGTGTATTGAAAGTGCTGTGAGAAAAGACCTTCTCTTGAGCTGACATATTTATTTATTTATTTATTTATTTATTTTTACATTCTTTAAACAGTTTTTATTTATTTTTTTTCTTTTAATTATTTTTTATTATGAAATACACATTTTTTAGAATTAGTTTCAGCTGTACAACACAGTGCAATAGTTATACTTTTTA